CCAGGAAGTTGAGGGCCACGGCGTGGGCCAGCAGGCAGGAGAAGCAGATGGCGAAGAGGACGCCGAAGAGGAAGCGGCGGGAGGTGCAGGTGGAGAAATCCGGCCCCACGATGAAGTCGAAGGTCAGGCAGAAGAGGCCGAAGGTGCCCAGAAGGAAGAAGACCTGCGTGGCCACCAGGCTCTTCTTGTGGTGGTCCTGCACAAAGGGCAGGCTGGCCACCAGCACGATGGTGAGCACGAAGGTGGTCACTACGCCCAGGCTGGCCACTGCTTCCACGCCGATGCCCCAGCCCACCGAGAGGTCACAGAGGTTGTAGTAGAGGGAGGAGAGGCCGTGGCCACAGCCCGGGGGCGCCGTGGGCTGAGCGGTGGCCGTGGGGAGCAGGGCCAGCAGCACGGCCGTGGTGCCCATCCTGCCCCGTGGCATCCAGGGACCCTGTGGGACACAGCAGGGTCAGGGCACAGGGGATGGGGATGGGGATCATCTCCCAGCCAGAGCATCCCTGCCTGTGGGGGTCCCCATTGGATGTCCTATGGTGAGCAGTGGGGTCCTGGGGAGCTCTGCCCTGCTGGCACAGATGAGCTCAGCCAACATGGCCACGGAGCTCCAGATGGGACAGGCAGCCACACTGGCTCCTTGCCTGGAGGTGGGTGTCAGAGCCCTCTGTGCTCCATATGATCCCTCCCAACACGGGAATTCTCTGGGAATTCTCCTGGTCCCTTCCTCTAGTGTCAGGAGCAGCACTGTGCCCGATGGCTTCCCAGGAACACCAAACGTGGGCCCAGCCCAGATGGCAGAGGGGATACTGGGGGACAGAGCTGTCCCCTTGCCTTGTCCCTGCGTGCCACCGTGTTCCTCTTTCCACTTCTTCCATCCCACTTCCCTCTGGCTTTGGGCACCGGCCCAGTGCAGGTCGCATGTCCAGCCTGCTGGCACGTAGGCAGCCGCAGCCTGGCACGGCACGGCACAGCATGGCACGGCACATCCGTCCCTGTCCTCCCCACCATTATCACCCCATTCCTGCCACCTCATGGAGGAGGAGGCAGCGAGGAAGCCGCAGCCTCACTGCTGGGGGAGGAACCCGGGAGGAGACCCCAGCAAGGACGTGCTGGG